TGGCAAACATCATCCATTATTTACTGGCAAACAAGGACACCAGGTTGGGCCTTGCCCCCGGCCAGAGTCGCTTTTTTTTGTGTTTATATTCCCTCAGATTTTCCATTTGGCACGAGGGAGAGCCAGGGGAGCAGGGGGCTGTGCAGCAAACTGCCACAAAAGTGGAATTTTGCCTTTTATTTCTGCTTCACATCCAGTTACAGCCCAGCAAGGCCGAGTTTCCTCAAGCCAGCAGGGCAAGGAGAGAAGGCCTGGAAATGCTGGAGTGATTCAGTTCCCTCCCTTCCTGCAGAAATCATTTAAAAGTACACTTCAAGCTTATAATTACACTGGTAATTTGGTGAAATTCTTGATCCAAACTGGGTTGCTTGAGCTTTTCCAAGGGTATAATCAGGATATTCCAAAGATTTAAGTGTCCCAGGCCAGGTTGGAAGGGCTTGGAGCAAACTGAAGGCGTGGAAGTGGAAGGGAGGTGGAACTGGATGAGCTTTAAATTCCCTTCCACCCTGGAATTCCAGGATAAACAGTTATTTGCAAGGGATCCAGGAAGGACAGCGAGGACTTGAGGCACTTTTTATGTTTTTACCAACATCCCTCAAGCATTTTTAAGGTTTGGGGCCTTCTTGGAGTCAGGAAATCTGCATCCCTGCTGGTGCAGGGGCACAGGGATGAGGTGATGGGGATTGGGGTCAGGAATGTGGCTCTGGAAATTGCAGCCTTGGAATTCCAGGAGTTGGATCAGCTCCACACACTGGGGGGAATCTGTTTGTTCATTTGTCTTCACTCCCTCAGGTTCCCTTGATGCTGCTGTTCTGGGCAGAATTCCTGGGAAAAGTTGGGAAATCTCTGGAATGGGAATGTTCCCTGGTGTGGTCCCACCCAGGCCATCCCCTCAGCAGTGATTTTCCTGGAGGAATCTCATCCTCAGGGCTGGGCTGAGCCCCATTCCCTCGCTTTTTGTCTTTTATTTGTCTTTTATGGCACTGGAATATCCCAGGAAGGAGGAAATTTCAATTTCTACAGCGCTCAGTGAGGGCCATATTGTGTGGCTCAATGCTTCTGCAAATATTTCATTATAAACACCTAATTTTCATCTTAATTTAATGCTATTTCTGTCTTGAAAACAGAATTTTGATCATCTGTTGCTGTTTGTTCTCCACAGATTCTTCTGCCTAATCCTCCAGATCCTGGGCTGCAGCCAGAGGAAATCTGGACCATCCTATGGAAAAGAGGGTTGGGAGTGCACAGGGAGCAGAGGTAGGCTGGGATTTTGGAATTTCTCCTGAAATATATCCATAAAGCTGAGGTTTAATGGGCAGATCCCAAGCATTGTGGTTAAATTCACAGCAAAATTCACAATTCCTCAAATTCTGCTCTTTGCTTGGTTGGCGAAACCATCTCCACCGGAAAAGGAAAAAGCCAAACCAGCCCAAAAAAAAGGGAAATTCCTGGAATTCTCTGCTGAGCACCATTTCCAGGGTGTGCCTGGAAGTTTGGAGGGAATGCCTTTGGCTGTGGTTTGGCAGGAGCCTCCACTCCAGCTTGTTTGTCCTGCTGGGAATTTGCATGGGAGGAGCAAGGTTGTGATTTGCAATATCTGAACCCGGCTCCAGGGTCACTGGAATTTGCCCCAATTCCCTGTGTTTGTCTGGAGGTGTGGAAATCTGAATACAAAATGCTCAGTTCTTCCCTCTAAAGCCTTGGCAGAGCACCCAAATAAATGGATTTTTGGGATGAGTGAACTTCCACCCTCCCCTTGTCCAAAACATCTGTGCCATCTTCCTTAGCATTCCCTTGGGATGCGCTTAAAAGGAAATAAATTGAATTTTCACACTTAAAAATTTTATTGCTGTGGCAGTGCGAAGTGCACTTAAAATTCAGATGGTGCAGCTTGTGTGAAGTGAAATTTATTTATCCCAGGCAAGGGATTGGTTGTTGGTGTTAAAATTGAGATTTCTCTGCGTTTGGTGCTGTTTATTCCACATTGTTTCATGCTGGAGCTAAAGGAACCTCAATCCTGCTGATTTTTTAGGAATCCTTTTAGGGAATTTTTAGGACAAACAGAAGAGGGGAATACCGTGAATTTGAGTTTATTTTGCCCGTCCCAGCCCTGTGTGAGGGGTTCTGGCCAGCAGAAGGCACCACCAGCTCAGCTTTGCGCCGCTCGCCGGCGTTCCCGGCTGGATTTACAGGAGATTCACCATCCCACAGCTCAGATCCTCACAATTCCCACTAAATAACAATAATAATAATAATAATAATAATAATAATAATAATAATAATAATAATAATAATAATAATAATAATAATAATAATGTGTTTTCTTGCTGCTCCAGGCCTGAGGGTTTCCCTGTGCAGCGATGGGAGCGTTGCGGCGCGCGCTGTTCGCGGCCTTTCTCCCCTTCCTCATCCTCTCAGGACGCTGGGCTGCAGCTGAGAACATCAACTTCCACAACATCAGGCCTCCACTAGACCGTAAGTAGCTTTTTTTGTGGAATTCTTGCCTTTTCTATACAGAATTCTAGGTTAAAATTGTCATTATTTGCCTCCCAGCCCTTTGCGTTTCGCCGTCCGTCTCCACAGAAACTTTAAAATAAACATTCTGCCTCTCACCCCCCAGCATTTTCTCCCTAATGTTTGACAAGTGGGCTGAATGAAAATAAATCAAATACTTGCTAAATAAAGAGTGCACAGGGAGTTTGGCATTTTAAGGGCTTTTCTTGTATTGTTTCTGTCTCCCTGCAGAGGAAATTGTGCGGCGGTTTCCTTGTAAATAATCCAGAACAGGTGGTTTTGGTCTTTTATCTTGTTGGGGGTTTTGTCAGGGGAGGAATAGGTGTTGCTGCCTGCAATTAATTCACTCTGAAGGTAATTAAAAACCTCGTGGGACCTGTGAGGCCAGTTGGCACTAATGGAATAATTTATTTATTTAATTATTTTTTTTCCCCTCTTATCTGGCATCACCAGTGTTCCAATGCTTCATTTGCATTATCTGCATCGTTAAAGCAGCCAGGATATAATAGCTGCAAATAATACCTGCCCCTAATGAACCCTGCACCTTCCAATGATTCATTGAAATCATGGAAATGAGATTTTTAAAGACCTTTTGTTTAAAGGATCCGACTTCTCTTTCCGAGTGGGAGTTCACGCTCTGGAAATGCAATTTTTCCATCAAAGCAAAATGTAGATTTAGGTTTGGGAGATAAACTCTTCCCTCTTCCCTGCTTTCCCCACCACTGCCTCAATTTTGGATTATGAGAGTGAAAACATGAGGATATACTTTGAGTTCAAGCCTAGAGAGGAAACAAAAACCTTTCTGCCAAACTTGTTTTATTTGTCTAACAGTGAAAGGATGTAAATATACCTAATTTATTTCTGTAAATGCATGCGTGTACAAGCATCATTCTGAATATTTTAATTTTTTTCTCCCAATGCTTCCCAACTGACTGCATTTTAATGCTTTTTTTTTTTAACCCTTTCCAAGCCACTCCATTCCCAAACAGTTTCAAGTGCTTCACGTGTGACAACGCAGTGGACAACTACAACTGCAACCGATGGGCTGAGGACAGGTGGTGTCCTGAAAGTGAGTAAGGCTGGACAAGGAAATATTAAATTAATTTAAATATAATTTAAATATTTTATGTGTTTGTGATATTCAAACCTGCTGTTCCCTGACCCACCCCCCTGGAGAATTCTGGCTCATGCATGGCATTGATGAGCCAGCAGTTTTGGTGTTGGTAATGCTGAGTCGGGAATTTTCTGCTGATCTGACAATTTTGGCCATTCCAGAGTGTGAAGCAACAGGGAAAAGTTATTAATCTCCATCTCTCTCAGTTTTATATAATATATAACAAAAATATTAATATACAAGCATTTGAAATAATGCTAATATTTTAATATTAAATTAAATATTAATGTTTACTATAACATTAATATTTTAGTATAATATTATTTAAAATAATTGTAATGTTTTACAATTAATCTGTATATTTTACCTATTATTAATATATTATTAATATATATTAATATATTATATTATACTATATATTATATGTATATATCCCTGTGTATATATATTATTATGTGCTTCCCAAGAGTTAATTTTAATCTTGTTTTAAAAAATCAGAATTTTCTGTGGCTTTATTCGCCTCAGAGTGTAAAGCAACAGTAAAAATTATTTATCTCCATATCCCTCCATTTTATATAATAATAAAATATTAATGTACCAACAGATTTCTAATATATCAATATTAATTACCTGTGTATATTTCTCTGTGTATATATATAATGATGTGCCTCCCAAGAGTTAATTTTAATCTTGTTTAAAAAATCAGAATTTTCTGTGGCTTTATTCGCCTCAGAGTGTAAAGCAATAGTGAAAATTATTTATCTCCATATCCCTCCATTATATATCATATATAATAATAAAATATTAATATACCAACAGATTTCTAATATATCAATATTAACTACCTGTGTATATTTCTCTGTGTATATGTATAATGATGTGCCTCCCAAGAGTTAATTTTAATCTTGTTTAAAAAACCTAAAGATTTTTCTGTAGCTTTTTTCTCCTCAGAGTGTAAAGCAATAGTGAAAAATTATTTATCTACATCTCTCCTCAATTTTATATCATATATAATAATAAAATATTAATATACCAACAGATTTCTAATATATCAATATTAATTACCTGTGTATATTTCTCTGTGTATATATATAATGATGTGCTTCCCAAGAGTTAATTTTAATCTTGTTTAAAACACCTGAAGAATTTCCTCTGTAGCTTTATTTTCTTCAGGGTTTTAAGGCAACAGTGAGAAATTATTTATCTCCATCTCTCTCAGTTTTATATAATTAATATATAACAAAAATGTTTATTTGCACATTTTTAATAACACATAAATATTAATTAACTATATGTGTTTCTCTCTGTGTATATACACATAATTATGTGCTTCCCAAGAGTTAATCTTGTTTAAAACACCTGAAGAATTTCCTCTGTAGCTTTATTTTCTTCAGGGTTTTAAGGCAAACAGTGAGAAATTATTTATCTCCATCTCTCAGTTTTATATGACAAAAAAATCATATTAAAGCAGCTTTTTAATAATACATCCTATATATGTTTCTCTGTGTATATACACATAATTATGTGCTTCCCAAGAGTTAATTTTAATCTTGTTTAAAACACCTGAAGAATTTCCTCTGTAGCTTTATTTTCTTCAGGGTTTTAAGGCAACAGTGGGAAATTATTTATCTCCATCTCTCAGTTTTATATGACAAAAAAATCATAATAAAGCAGCTTTTTAATAATACATCCATATTAATCACCTATATATGTTTCTCTGTGTATATGCACATAATTATGTGCTTCCCAAGAGTTAATTTAAAGATGTTGTTGAAAAAACCTGGAGGATGGCAGTCAAACTCCAGATTCCTTTTAATGATGGCAATCAAACTCCAGATTCCTTTTAATGATTGGAATCAAACTCCAGATTCCTTTTAATGATGGGAATCAAACTCCAGATTCCTTTTATGGATGGGAATCAAACTCCAGAATTCCTTTTAATGATGGCAGTGAAACTCCAGAATTCCTTTTAATGATGGGAATCAAACTCCAGAATTCCTTTTAATGATTGGAATCAAACTCCAGAATTCCTTTTATTGATCAGAATCAAACTCCAGATTTCCTTTTAATGATGGGAATCAAACTCCAGAATTCCTTTTAATGATGGCAATCAAACTCCAGATTCCTTTTAATGATTGGAATCAAACTTCAGATTCCTTTCAATGATGGCAGTGAAACTCCAGAATTCCTTTTAATGATGGCAAACTCCAGAATTCCTTTTAATGATGGCAAACTCCAGAATTCCTTTTAATTATGGCAATCAAACTCCAGAATTGTTTTTAATGATGGCAGTCAAACTCCAGAATTCCTTTTATTGATGGGAATCAAACTCTGGATTCCTTTTAATGATGGCAGTCAAACTCCAGAAATGCTTTTAATGATGGCATTCAAACTCCAGAATTGTTTTTAATGATAGCAGTCCGACTCCAGAATTCCTTTTGATGATCAGAATCAAACTCCAGATTCCTTTTAATGATGGGAATCAAACTCCAGAATTCCTTTTAATGGTGAGAATCAGACTCCAGAATTCCTTTTAATGGTGACAGTGAGACTCCAGAATTCCTTTTAATGATGGCAAACTCCAGAAATGCTTTTAATGATGGCAGTCAAACTCCAGAATTCCTTTTAATGATTGGAATCAAACTTCAGATTCCTTTTAATGATTAATCAAACTCCGGATTCCTTTTAATGATTAATCAAGCTCCGGATTCCTTTTAATGATGAATCAAACCCCGGATTTGTGTTTAATGCCGTGACTCAAGCTGTGTGTCGCTGTTGCAGGCACGCGGTACTGCCTGACCGCCCACCTGTTCACGGCGCACGGCGAGAGCACCTCGGTG